ATATATATATATATATATATATATATATATATATATATATATATATATATATATATATATATATATATATATATATATATATATATATATATATATTTAAAAACAATACTAAAAACCGACGACTGATTCCTGGGTGTGTTCATGGTAAAAAGGACACAAACGTCAATGAGCACCAGGAAAGATAAAACCTTTAAAAAGTTTAAAAAGTTTTAATAAATAGTAGTGATCCAAGCTTTCACCGGCTCTCTGCCGGCATCTTCAGGGATCTGCGTAGGTCAATGGGAGGGCGTCTCTTATAATCAAACCGCCTTTGCACCCGGCCCGTGGGTGCTACCGTAACGCTCTACTGGCCAATCGCCGTTCCAACCCCGTACTCACTCCGTTCAGCTGATCTACCAGAGCTGTTCCTATCACTGCATCATCACCCCACTCACACTCTCTCCTCCTTCCTTCCTGTCTCTTGTCCTGCCGCACTTCTCCCCCCATTCGGTCTTTCCCCTGCTCCCTCATGTCCTTAGCCTCCCCCCTCTCTCTCCCCACAGGGGTTCCCTGGCACATCCGTAGGGCAGCCGCGCGGGAACGGGTAATCGCCCCTAAAACGGGACGATGCTGTTCTCCTTCTCCCCTTTCCCTAACCTCCTCCCCCTTCCTACTATCCACACCACCCCCCATCCTAGCTGGTGGTCGTCGTGCCCTACCTGCCTGATCTTTCTCCCCCCCCTTCTGTCGGAGCGTCTTTTCCACACCCTCTATCTCTCCTCTACCCTCAGTCAACATTCCTTCACCCCCCCCCCGCGGGAGGGGTGGCCTTAACTCACTCCCTTCTTCCCTGTTGGCTGGCCGGGGGCACACGCGCACGGTTGCGCCATTTGTGCTACCCCCCTCCCCTTGCGGTCATGCCTCTTCCTTCCTCTGATCTTTACCCTTCTCTCCCATACCTATAACCTCCCCCCTCTCTCTGCCTACCGAAGTTGCTAGGGACGCTCGTGAGGCAGCCACGCGGGAGCGGGTAATCGTCCCTAGAACGGGGCGACGTTGTTCTTCTACTCCCCTATTCATGACTTCCTCACCCTTCCTCCTGTCCGCCTTATCTCCTGTTCTATCTAGTGGCCACCGTCCCCTACCTGCCTGGTTTTTCCCTTCCCCCTCCTGTCGGAACGTCTTTCCCACATTCTCCGTCTCTCCTCTTCCCTCAGTCAAAACTCTTGCACTCTCCCGCATGGGGGCCGGCATTGCCTCCCTTCCTTCCCCCCCACACAGCCCTCTATCTACCTGATCGCTCCCCCCCCACTCCTGTCGAGGTGTCTTTCCCGCGCCCTCTATCTCTCCTCTTCCCTCAGTCGAAACTCTTGCATTCCTCCGCAGGGCGGCCGCGCGGGAGCGTGTAACAGCCCCCAACACGGCACCGCGTCGTTCTCCCTCCGTTCCTGTGTTCCTCCGTGGGGCAGCTATCCGGGGGCGCACGACTGCTCCTATAGCGGCGCTGCACCGTTCCCCTTCTCCTCCTCCATCTATCAGCGATGCTGCACCCATTTGGAACGGCGATTGGCCAGTAGAGCGTTACGGTAGCACCCACGGGCCGGGTGCAAAGGCGGTTTGATTATAAGAGACGCCCTCCCAGTGACCCACACAGATCCCTGAAGATGCCGGCAGAGAGCCGGTGAAAGCTTGGATCACTACTATTTATTAAAACTTTTTAAACTTTTTAAAGGTTTTATCTTTCCTGGTGCTCATTGACGTTTGTGTCCTTTTTACCATATATACCATATATATATATGGTAAATGTTGACTGAGGGTAGAGGAGAGATAGAGGGCGTGGGAAAGACGTTCCAACAGAAGGGGGGGGGAGAAAGATCAGGCAGGTAGGACACGACGACCACCAGCTAGGATGGGGGGTGCTGTGGACAGTAGGAAGGGGGAGGAGGTTAGGGAAAGGGGAGAAGGAGAACAGCATCGTCCCGTTTTAGGGGCGATTACCTGTTCCCGCGCGGCTGCCCTACGGATGTGCCAGGTAACCCCAGTGGGGAGAGAGAGGGGGGAGGCTAAGGATATGAGGGAGAAGGGGAAAGACCGAATGGAGAAGTATGGCAGGACAAGAGACAGGAAGGAGGAGAGAGGGTGAGTGGGGTGATGATGCAGTGATAGGAATGGCTCTGGTAGATCAGCTGAACGGAGTGAGTACGGGGTTGGAACGGCGATTGGCCAGTAGAGCGTTACGGTAGCACCCACGGGCCGGGTGCAAAGGTGGTTTGATTATAAGAAGCGCCCTCCCACTGACCTACGCAGATCCCTGAAGATGCCGGCAGAGAGCCGGTGAAAGCTTGGATCACTACTATTTATTAAAACTTTTTAAACTTTTTAAAGGTTTTATCTTTCCTGGTGCTCATTGGCGTTTGTGTGCTTTTTACCATGGACATACCCAGGAATCAGTCGTCGGTTTTTAGTATTGTTTTTAAATATATATATTTAAATATATTTATATATATTTAAATATATTAAATATATTTATATATTTAAATATATATATATATATTTCAAAATTTGGATTGCTAACAAAGAATTAAGGGAGAACTGGAATAGCCATTTCGAACTTT